CTCCGTCGCCCTCACCACCACCATCTGAGGGGCAGACCGTCTCGTCCTCAAGAACAGTGAGAGAAGCGACACCGACACCACCACAGGCACTGCGGAACGCAGTGGTGTCCTCCTGGTGGTGTGGTTTCCCCGCTCCGCAAAAAGACATCTCCAGTCCCCAGCCCGGGGAGACAGCGTTGCCCTCATCTCAGAAGATGGCCCCCCTAGTCGTGGTGGTGACGCTGCTCCTTCCTCCAAGCTTTCGGAGGATGGGATGCGGGAGCGGACATTGCAATGGCGCTGCAACATAACAATGCAAGCGCGGAACCCCTGAGGTGCAACATGTGCTGACCTGCGGGTGGTATCTGTGCAGTCTCCCCCGGGAACGAAACTACCAACAACAAGTTCTACACCTCCCCTGGACCACACATCATGCACCTGCCCAGGACGTAGGAAGCGGTTGTGCTCCTTCCTCAACTGGGAGGGGGCTCAGGAGGGAGCTGGAGTTCCGAGGCAGCGCTTCTTTTCTTACGACGTGAGCCCCTGAGCTGTCGACCCATCCCCTGGGAATTGGGGGCGGCCGGGGATCTGAAGTGGTTGGGACCCCAGAACGTCGGCCAGGAGGGGGGGTGAATCAGAATCCTTTCAAAATCGGTTCCCAGACCCCTCGCGGGGTCTATCTAGTGTAATTTTTCACCCCGGCTCCGTTTTTGACGGTCCCGGGGGTCCAGAAAGGAGCCCCAGAGGCCGAAACAAATTATCCGAATCCAGAAACCTCCCACCTCCCCCCCCTCCCTGCCGGCCGGAACCAGTGCTGGGCCACCTCAGACTCCCTGCCGACTCCAATCTGGTATCCCCCGCGTCTCCTCGTGAGGGCCCCCTCAGCAAATGCCGCCCTTGGGGCCTGTCCTCGATCCCCTCGTCGTGATCTGATCTTGCTTCTGTATTATTTGCGATATCTCCCGTGACCGCCGCCCCCTGGTCATATCACAAGTCGCGCCGGCGTCGTGTGTGGGAGTTGACACCACCCAAGCATCCCCAGACGTCGCCAGCGCGAATCGCAACGTGAATGGCCCTCTTCCCCCCTTCCCCCCAGTCACGCTCGTTATCGCCGGTCGTTATCGCCGGGGATCGAATTACCCGAGACGTAAACAATACCTCTTCCATGCGAGGCGACTGATCGTAGAACGCTCCATACACAAGAATACATTGCGAGATAAGCGGAACTCTGAAACGCTTCGCCAAACATCGCCGTGCCACGCTCGTCGCACACCGGCCCAACTCCGATCACAACACTCCGACATAGAACTGGGGACTAGTGGAAGAGGAAGGAGAGGGGGGGAAGGAGGACGGGTGTAGCAAGATGTGCGTGGCACTACACTCCATTGGATCTCTCAGCTGGACCGCGTAGGAGCCTGCGAAAATGGCGATGGTTGCACAATTGGCAGTCCCCCACAGTTCCGAGAGGTCTCGCCCAGATATGCCAGAAATCCACTCCGCTGAACCTCCCAGGGGGCCAACAACAAAAAGTGCCACAATTGCTCACTTCGCAGCCCCCGAGGGAGCCGCGAGGCCTGAAATGATCCGCGTTGCCCTCACCTCCGCCGTGCCTCCCAGGAGCCCACGGACGTGGCGACGGGTAAGCAATTCGCAGCCCCCGAGGGAACCGCGAGGTCTCAAAGGATCCGCGCTGCCCTCACCTCCGCCGCGCCGCCCAAGCTCCCACGAAAAAAAAAACTGAAATTGCGAAATTCGCAGCCCCCGAGGGAGCCGCGAGGTCTCAAATGACCCGCGCTGCCCGCGCCTCCGCCGTGCCTCCCAGGAGCCCACGAAAGTGGAGACAGCTGCACACTTCCCAGCCCACCCAGTAGGAATGGTACGTATCCAAGGGAAGATAAAAGGGGGCGACGAGAAGCAAGAGGAGGAGGAGGAGGAAGAGGAGGAAGAGGAGATGAGGGATGAGGACGAAGACCACAGTGCTCGATTTCAAACGAGAACCAAGAGCACAGGTTGGTTGGGAAAAGACTGCCCTCTTTGAGTCGAGACGTCTGGAGGTCTGGGGGGGCGCACGGCCCGCCAACGGCCCAGGAAATGTCGCTCACGGCCCCCAGGAGGAGGAGGAGGAGGAGGAGGAGGAGGAGGAGGAGGAGGAGGAGGAGGAGGAGGAGGAGGAGGAGGAGGAGGAGGAGGAGGCACACCCGCAGGCGGCCTCGCAGGCCGATGTGAAAAAACCCGCCCGTTGTGATCTGCCCGCGGCGCCTCGAGGCCTCAGCAAGACGCCCCCCAAAAAGCCTTCCCTGGACACGACCTCTCCGAGCTGCGCCCAGCCGTGGCAACCCGGGAGGCACAAGCAAGGAACAGAAACGCGAGGGCCCACCCCGGCCCTCTATGTCCAGGCACCCCAGAAGGGGGCCAACACAAGACAGGTCGCCACCCCATCCATGAGACGGGCTCTCCTGGACACCCGGACACCCCCCGGACTCCCAGAGACGCCCCAAAAGCTGCCGAGACCACGATCCTCGTGGTCCCTCCTCGTCAATGCTAGAGGCATCCGACGATCTGAGTTTTCCGACGCGCGGCCCCACAGCAAGGTCCCGGCCCCTTCCCCAGGTCCAGTTTGTGCCGACACCGGCTCATCTCTGACCGCCCATAATGGGACCAAACGAAGGGCCCCAGACGCAGGACTCGAAGAAAAGCACGCCCGGATGGAAGCGGTCAGATCGTCCGAGATGCGGGAGACTCGATTTCGAAGAGGTGGTGGCCCGCCTGAGCGGACGGGGAGAAAAGGGGGCCATGACCAAGACTGAACGCGGAAACGTCGTACCGATCTTGGCAGTAGAGCCCGAAATCGAATCGATCAGCCAGATCGGCGATCGAAATGAATCGGATTGGCGGAAATCGGCACCCGAGTCGGGAAAAGTCGTCGGTCGGCGGAAATCTGCAGGCTAGTATGCCTCCAGTGTGACTTCAGAGCCCAAATCGGAATCAGAAGTCGAATCGAATCGGAATCGGCAACCATGGAAATCGGATCCGATCGAATCGGAGGAGTTCGAAACGAGCCCTGTCTTGGTCACCGTCCACCCAGGGCAGCACAACATCGTGGACCGCCCTCGCGAATCGGCAACGGCTCGAAGGGGCCGGGGCCGATATCGGCGCCGACAACCCCCGCGACGCGCCGAGGCCCCCGACGGCATGCTCTCCATGGCGTGGACCCCCCCGGGGGGTCTGGAGACCCGCGCCCCGGGCCAGGCGTTTCCCTCCCGACTCGTGGTCAGGACGGCCCCGAGCCCCGAGGACGGGGGAGGGGGCCCGCGGAGGCCGAAGACTCGCCACAGCAGAGCCCGTCGTGAGGTTCCACGGCGCGAGAGAGAGAGAGAGAGAGAAGCTGAGTGCAAAAGCGCACATCAGCACGAACAAACAGCTTCAGAGGGCATCGCAATACCGCGTGACGGTCGCGCGCCAGGCTGCGATGGACTGCGCTGAGTCTTGCCAGAGATGCGCAACGGCGCGGGGGGGGCGCAGGCAGTCCGCTCGACGTGGGCCCCTCAGGCCCCCCGAGGTCGTAGCCGCTTGCACGGCGTGGGCCCACTAAGAGGTCCGGACCCCTTCCCTAAGGGGGCGGGAGGTCCAGCCCGAGCCGTTCTTTTCTTATGCTTGACGGCCCCCCGCGGAGGCCAGGGAAGGGGCCCCTGGAGGCCGAGAAGAAACGGCGTCGAAAGCCGCCGTCTTGGCGTTGGGGGTGCGGGTCTTGGCTCTTGGCCACGGTCGGCGGCACACGCGCGCCCCACGACTCGTGGAGCCGCCGCTCGCAAGTGGCCCGGATCCGCCATGGGAGGATCTACGACCCATGACCTCGATGCAGACACGCGCGCGTGTGTGTGTGTGTGTGTGTGTGTGTGTGTGTGTGTGTGTGTGTGTGTGTGTGTGTGTTCGGACGCTTGCGAGCAGGCACTCTGCGAGTAGTGGGACGCGCTGAGTTATCAGCGACGTTTTTCGGCGGCGAGCTCGGGGGAAAGTGAGAAGGGTTAGGTCGGGCGTGTCCTCCTATAGGCGGATCTTGGACAACATATATAACAAGTATCCCAAGAAAAAAAACTCAAACTGGTATTTAAAAAATCGTCCCCAGACTATTTGTTTACTATGTTTAAAGATTCCTCCTGTAGAAGGACAGGCCCAACGTAAGAGAAGGGGCGGGCCTCCTCAGAAGGCTCGGAAGTCCAAGGCCCGCTGAGAAGTGCTTTCTGCGCCTTCCCCGAAGGCACAGAGGAAACTTCCCAGAAGGCGCGCGGGGGCTTCTGAGACGTACCGCCGCCTTCCGAGAAGGCCTTCTCCTTCTCGATTCCCCCCTCGCTCGCCGCCGAATTTGGTCTTCGGGTCATTGCTCGGAACTCCTGCGGCCGCTCGGGACGATCCGGGCAACCCCGGAACACTCTCGGCGAGGCGCAGCTGCTGGCAAGCATCCCGAGGCTAGAAGACCGCCGAGAACCGACGAAAGCGCCCGAAAACTTCGAATCTCGAAGCTCGAACCTCGAACTTGCCCCCCTCGCTCGCCGCCGAGTCTTGGTCATGGTCAGCATGCTTCTCCCTCTGCCGCTGGTGATGGGGTAACCACGAGGTGCGGATACCGCTGCTCCGCTGACCTCTCCTGGGGTGCGCCCTGACCAAAGTGGAGGCGAATCCAGCAGTGGCGACGAGGGCCTCCCGGGAGGCCCCAAAAAAGAAAACGACTGAAGTATAGCGGTATGGATACTCCAGATCTCGTAATAAAGAGGAGGGGACCACAACCCTCCCAGGCAAGAAGTTTGAGAACCCCCCTCCATGAAAGGGCTGCCCTTTGCCCAGACCCCCCCGAACCCTCCAAGGCAGCTCCAATCAGACCCCCCCCCCCAAATGCGACCCCCCCCCATTTTGTCATGGAATCCGGAATACCTGTTCCTCCGCCGAGGTGCCCACCCCCCCCTCGGCCCCGCCCGACGCACGGGGGCGGCATGGGGAGGGGCGGCCGAAGGCGGGCGCGGCTCCGCGGCGGGGATGCTCGGTGCCGCGCTCTTGCTGAGGCCTGTGCGGGCGTCCAGGGAGCGCTTCCTCGTCGTCGTCGGCTTCCTCGTCGTCGTCGTCGGCTTCCTCGTCGTCGTCGTCGTCGTCGTCGTCGGCTTCCCCGTCGTCGTCGTCGTTGTCGGCTTCCTCGTCGTCGTCGTCGTCGTCCGACGACTCGCTCCCGAGAGGGCGGGGCCCGGGCGGGCCCGGCGCCCTGCCCCGCCCGCCCCCCGCGCGAGGCTGCCAGGGGCGCCCGCCCTTCCCTCGGACCCGGCACGGCCTCGGGCCCACTCCGCGCCCGCGGACCCCCTGCCTCCGCGCGCTGCGCCGGGGGGCGGCGCCTGGAGGCCTGGCCGCACAGCGGCGCGCAGAGGGGGGCGGGGAGAGGGGGGGGGAGGCTTCTTGGATGGAGGCTGCCTCTCAGAGGGCGCCAACCTCATCTATAGATTCCTCTTCCTACTTTTTTATAAGCCCGGGCGGGGGGAAATCCCGTCCCCCCCCCCGAAAAAAAAACCGGACTCCCAGGATCTGGGGCTTTGGGACCTTCCGGACGGCCCTGGAAGCGGCCCCCGGGCCTCGCAGGGCGTTTCGCCAAGCCTTCCCAGCACACCTAGGGCGATCAGGAGGGTCATCGGAGACGTCCCAGAGACCCCCAAGACAGCACAAAAGCACTCCAAGAGTGACCGACGTGACCTCAAGATGGCCCAAGAGGCCTCCAGGACGGCCCCAAAGAGGGCTCCAAGAGCACTCCCAAGAAGGCCCCCCCGAGGCAAAAAATTGTGAATTTGGGGGTTCTCCTCTTTTCGGCTTCCCGACGCTCCAAGACGGCGGTCTTCTGGGCATCCGAAGCCGCCTGGGAAGCTCCAAAATCGCCCCACAACCATCCGAAAAGGCTTCAGGCAATCCAAAAGAGCCCCAAAACGGCACAACACGGGTTCAAGATGGCTCTCAGAGAGCCCCATGGCGGCCCAAGATGGCCCAAAGAAACCCTCCGAAGCATTCCAAATCGTGACCCGTTCGTTCAGGGAGACCGCGGTTGGAGACAGGGTGGCCCGAGGAAGCCCCCGGAGGCCCCCAGAATACACCCAGGAGGCCTCCAGAAGGCCTTAAGAAAGCCTGAAACAACTTTTGTGAGGCCCCCAGAGGCTCTCCAAGGAGGAGCCTCCGCAAAAAAGAGCTGAGGAAGATGGGGAGAATGCGCAGGGTATGGCGAAAATAAAGAAAAAGAAGCATGGAGGAAAGATGCCGAATAACATTATTATAGCGGCGATGCCGGAAAAGGCAACACGGAGTTATCGCTAAATTGTCGGCTTGACCTTCCTGCTATGCCGCCTGCATACCAAGCTTCAAGCACCAAGGTGCATGGCGCGAAGCGCCACTGCAGTCTTGTGTATATACATATATTATTATTATTATTATTCGTATTAGTATTATTATTATTACTATTATATATAGATATATGTATATGGATTGCTAGGGCCCGCGCCTTCTGAGAGGCACCCTGCCCTCGGGCAGGGAAGGGCAGGACATACGGAAAACCGTGGCCGCCTGGACGGCGGCGCGACACGCAGATCACAGCCAGCCTGGGTCGCGGCGCAGCTATTGATAGGGGGAAAACAAACCTCCCTCGCTTTTGACCACCCTCGCTTCCAAGAGATACCAAACGATGCCAAATTGCAGCCTGTACTGATCAGACCGCTTGACGAGGAGGCGCTTGGTATGGCTTGGTTTTGCCTGGAAGCGAAAGCGAGGTAGGTAATTCACGCTCTGAATTGATGCATGCAGCCTGCAGCTGGGGGCTGGCTCTAATAGCGGTGGGGTGGGCGGCGCTGTCGCCAGTGCTCGAATACGGCATTTGATGCTGGATGCTGCACATGCTGGGCCTGCATCTCTGGCTGTGATGCTGGGATGCCTCTGCCGATTGAGCTGAACAGCGTTCGGCAGCAACGTATCCAAACCTGCAATATCTGAGTTTTCCAAATATCCAGATCAACATGGCTGCGCCCTCGACCCTAGGCGATGGCACGACAACAAAATCAGCACCCCTCGGAGATAGAAGCTTCGATGTTGGTGGGCTGTCAGATCCAATAAGTCAGTGCACTGCTCGGGTGAACCTCATGGGCGCACATCCTCATCACTGAAAACAAATTGGTTGCCACTGATTCGCCAATTGCAAAAGGCGCTATCCAGATGCACATGTAAAAACATACGTATGCCTCTATACATACACATTACAAACATATGTATGTGCTTTTACGTAGACGCATACATACATATAAAAAGGTACATAAACGTGTGTGCACGGCACTGCCGGTCATTTGCGCATTTGGTTTCACCTGACACTGGTCGAAGCCGCTGCATCGTGTTGATGCCAAGCTGGGACGTGGGCGTGACATGACGAATGCCTTCTGGCCAGCAGCTGTTATGGATCACAATGTGATAATGGAAGACACCTTCTTAAACACTCGAGAACGTGTCACCAATCATCAGTTTATCACATTCGAAAAAGCGACGTAAGACGGCTATACCAGCACCCAAACGCCCATGACACATGACTTGAATGAAGAGCAGAGCCGGCACTTTTGCGGTGCAACCCGACTGCTATATGGAGTCTCCAAAGGTACACCAAGCTGGGAACTCGCCAAGGCTCCCACAAGAACCGCCCCTGATGCAAAGCGCAATGGCCACACGCGTGATGATCATAGTGGCTACGACATGATATGTGACACTCCCAAGACTGATCCAGCCTCAACGCAGACGAGATTGTTGCGATTACTGTTGTCGTCGTCGTCTTCGTCGCATGTGCTGTTGGACTATTATTTTTACAACATGCACCTTGTTTATGCTCACTCTGGCTCCCAGAGCCCCTCCCAGAGCTCGCAAAATGTTTTCGGTTCAAAGGAAAGTCCCGAGGCCCAGAACAACAACGACTCCCGCCTTATACTTCTCCACAACTCATTCAACATCGCGCTTTCGCGCAGGATTTCCTGACAATATGTGCAGGAATCGCGCTTTCGGTTCGCGGGGGGCTTCTTTGCAATATTCCTCTTCCTATATCTTTATAAGCCCGGGCGGGGGGGAAACCCCGTCCCCCCCCCAAAAAAAAACCGGACTCCCGGGACCTGGGGCTTTGGGGCCCTCTGGACGGGCCTCGAAGCGGCCACCGGGCCTCGCAAGGCGTTTTGCCAAGCCTTCCCAGCACACTTTGGGATCAGGGGGGTCATCGGAGACGTCCCAGAGACCCCCAAGGCAGCACAAAAGCGCTCCAAGAGTGACTGACCGACGTGACCTCAAGATGGCCCAAGAGGCCTCCAGGACGGCCCCAAAGAGGCCTCCAAGAGCACTCCCAAGAAGGCCCTCGGATTCTCCTCTTTTCGGCTTCCCGACGCTCCCAGACCTCGGTCTTCTGGGCGTCCGAAGCCGCCTGGGAGGCTCCCAAATCGCCCCACAACCATCCGAAAGGGTTTCCAAGCAGCCCAAGAGAGCCCCAAAACGGCACAACACGGGTCCAAAGCCGTCAGAGAGCCCTATGGCGGCCCAAGATGGCCCGACACCCTCCGAAGAATTCCAAATTGTGATTCGGAGACGGCGGTTGGAGGCAGGGTGGCCCGCGGAAGCCCCTGGAGGCCCCCAGAATACGCCCAGGAGGCCTCCAGAAGGCCTTAAGAACGCCCGAAACAACTTTTGTGAGGCCCCTAGAGGCCCTCCAAGGAGGAGCCTCCGCAAAAAAGAGCGGAGGAGGATGGGGAGAATGCGCAGGGTATGGCGCAGGGAGATGGCGATTTTGGGGTTCTCCTTCCCTCGTCCCTCCTCTCCTTCTCCATCTCCTTCTCCTCCTCCTCCTCCTCCTCCTCCTTCTCCTCCTCCTCCTCCTCTCCCACTCCCTCCTCCTCCTCCGCCTCCTCCTCCACGTCCACCACTTCCTCCTGTCCCTCGCCCCCGCAACCAGCCCATCTCCTCCTCGCCTGCAAGACAGCACGCCCCTCGCTCTCGAATCACTATTAAATGGCACGTCACGGCACGGCACGGGCACCGCGCCACCCCTCCCCCCCCTGCAGCCCAGCCCCGCATCGACCCCCAGCCAGCACGCCCCCTCCGCCCCGACTATAATCTGTTATATGCACCGCACGGCCCCGGTTCCGCGCCCCCTTCCACCCCCCCTTCCGCAGGCAGTCCAACTTCTCCTCCTCCTTTTACTCTCCTCCTCCTCCTCCTCCTCCTTCCTCCTCCTCCTCCTATTCTTCTTCTTCCTCTTCTTCATATTCTTCTTCTTATTATTACTACTATTTATTATCCCCTACTCCTCCTCCTCCTCCTCCTCCTCCTCCGCCTCCTCCTCCTCCACCTCCCTCCTCCTCCTACTCCTCCTCCTCCTCTCTCTCCTCCTTGTCCTCCCCCTCCTCCCCCTCCCCCTCCCCTCCTCCTCCTCCTTCTCCTCCTCCACCTCCTCCACCTCCTCCTGCGCATCCTCCTCGTCCTCCCCTCCTCCTCCTCCTCCTTGTCCTTCCTTGTCCTCCTCCTTCCCCTCCTCCAACTCCAACTCCTCCTCCTCCTCCTCCTCCTCCTCCTCCTCCTCCTCCCCTCCTCCTCCTCCTCCTCCTCCTCCTCCTCCTCCTCCAACGCCACCGACACTGCACCGCCAACGCACCGCCAACGCCACGCACCCCACCCCGCCACCGCCACCGCCAACCCCGCCTTCGCCAACGCCCCCACCTCCTCCTCCCCTCCACCTCCAACCTCCTCCCCCTCCTGCTCCCTCCTCCTCCTCCTGCTCCTGCTTCTGCTTCTGCTCCTGCTCCTGCCCTGCTCCTGCTTCTGATCCTCCTCCTTCTCCTCCTCCTCCTCCTCCTCCTCCTCCTCCTCCTCTTCCTCCTCCTCGTCGCACCCCGCGGCCATCCCAGCCTCTCCTCGACCCCCAGCCAGCGCACTCACTCCGCCCCTACCACTTGATTCTGGCCCCGCCGAGCAAGACACCGTCACCGCGCCTCCACCCCCTTGTCTTTCCGCAGCCAGCCCAGCTCCTCCTCGCCCCCGCAGCCAGTCCAACTCCTCCTCACTTCCCCGCAGCAAGCCCCGCTCATCATCGCCCCCCAGCTAGCGCGCCCAGGCCGCCCCGACCATTGCATTCCGGCACTGCGCGGCACCAGCACCACGCCTCCCGTTCCCGCGCCCCACAGCCAGCCTGGTTCCTCCTCATCCTCCTCCTCCTTCTTCTCCTCTTCCTCTTCATTCTCCTCCTCCTCCTCCTCCTCCTCCTCCTCCTCCTCCTCCACCTCCGCCTCCGCCTCCACCTCCCCCCTTTCCGCCTCCTCCTCCTCCTTCTCCTGCTCGCCTCCGCCTTCACCATCTCCTCCTCCTCCTCCTCCAACCTCCTCCACTCCTCCTCCTCCTCTTCCTCCTCCTCCTCCCCTCCTCTCTTTCCTCCTCCCTTTCTCCCCTCCTCCTCCTCTCCTCCTCCAACTCCTCCTCACTCCTCTCCACATTCACCTCCTACCTCCTCCTCCTCCTCCTCATCCGCCTTCCACAAGCTCATCCTGCTTCATTTCCTCGTCCCACACGCCTTCTCCTTCTCCTTCTTCTCCTCCTCCCTCGTCTCACTCCCCTCCTTCTCACCCCTCCTCTCCCACTCCTCCTCACCCCTCCTCCTCCTCCTGCAGCCCAACTCCGCCCCGCCTTGCCAGCCCGGCCCCGCCTCGCCCCCCATCCACACGCCCCCCTCCGCCCCGACTATTATCTATTATATGCATCGCACGGCCCCGGTTCCGCGCCCCCTTCCACCCCCCCTTCCGCAGGCAGCCCAACTCCTCCTCCTCCTCCTCCTCCTCCTCCTCCTCCTCCTCCTCCTCCTCCTCCACGTCCTGCTGCTCCTCCTCCTCCTCCTCCTCCTCCTCCT